TTTGTGTAAGAAAAATTAAATCAAATGTGTGAGACGTTACACATGTTTAAATCTCACATTTTTTCAATAAACCTAAAATCAAAATAAATTTAATTTAATACAAAAACTATACATCATTATATAATAATTAACAAAATGGGAAACAAAAATAAATAAATTTAATCTATAACGATTAATGTCACATGACCAAAACATATTGAGTAATATCCAAAACCACATATAGTAATATCCCAAATATATTGAAGTAGAAATTATTATTTACCGATTTAATAGAAATAAATAATATACAATATAATTTATTAATATATATATATATATATATATATATATATATATATATATATATATATATATATATATATATATATAACGGGTACGGGGGGGGGGGGGGAATGTGATACCCGTCCTCGTCCCCATCCCCGGTTTGAGCCAAACGGGGATCCCTGTCCTCGAGACCCGGTTTAACGGGGAATCCACGTCCCCGACCGGGGCGGGTGGACCGGGTTCCCCGATGAATTGGGGCCAATTCTCATGCCTAATAGCAAGGCTGGTGATCAGACCTTCTGTACAGGGTCGTCCCTGGGAGAAGGCAGGGTCGGGCACACGTCTAGAGCCCACAAGAAATAAGGGCCCGAATTTTTTAGTATATAGTAGTAGTTAAAAAAAATTAGATAAAAAAGGTGCAATTTTTTAATATTTAATAAGACTAAAAAAAGAGTATTATATTAAGGGTTCATACATCCATTAATAAATTATATGGAGAAGAAATATGTAAAATTTTAATTGGTCATTTATTTTATAATATTGCTTATTGTATCTGTAAGTTTTTCTAATCTAACATCAAAGTTTAAAACTACTTACATATAAAAATTTGATATATATTCTCTATCATTCATCTCTCAAGGAAGCTTTTGATTATTCCATCCACATGCTCACATGGATTTTATTTGTGTATTAGAATATAGTAGATTTTTTTTACATGATAAATGCTCTTTTTACATCTCGCTCAGGGCCTATGAAACGTCAGGAATTGGCATGTTTCTGTCCAAAGCCTCTAATTGTGGTTTCACATATTGAGATGGTGCTTTTGACTCAGAACCTTTGGGTCAGTTATAACTGCCGCTAAACTTATCCTTTAGTAGATGTAATTGATGTTCAGTTACATATTAACCGCCAAACTGTCCTTAACCGTCGATCTGTTTTATAAATACATACGGTTGATTTGATGAATATATATACGAGTTTGTGCCTTAACTCTATATGAAGTTTCTGGATTATCTCATTACCAATTTCGTGCTAACCTAAGACATATCTAAGAGCGAAATGGAAAGTGATTTCCAATTCGATCTAGAAATTTATCCAACCCAATACCGACCACAAAACCAAAATCCCCAACATTTTATTGGGTAAGATTCTCGATCCTTACCATACTCGCTAAATAAAATAAATTACACTACACATTTCATAAACAGACTCACGAGTCTCAATTCTTATCCACTAAGTCAAAGTCATTGAAAGTCTTATAATTAAGTTGGTCAGGAATCTCATATTTGTACCACGCATTATCCTTCATGCTACTTTATTAGCTTATTCATTTAGAATATAAATTAAGTGATTAGTGAGCCCACATCATTACATGCATAATTTGGATATATGTATACCATAATCCCATCCAAACTTCATTGCAACTTTACCTAATCACAACTTGTGCATGAGAGAGAGAGAGATCATTAGGGTCCATGCACATGTGATTAATTAAGTAAGCCACGTTCATTTTGACCATCATTGATATCACAGTCACATCAATCGATCCAGGTATAATATTAATTTCACGATGATCCTCGTTAACAGAAATACCCTGTTGAAAAATTCCTTGTGTTTTCTCTTTATCATGATCGTATCCCATAAATAAAACGTTTTTTAAGTTGATATTAACTTACAGAAAGTGACAAATTGAATCAAGATTGTCGATGATGCTTGAAATGAAGTAAGAAAAGAAAGATAAAGGGTTTTGATCGTATAAAAATTAAAACCTAGTCAAAAGAATATATCTTTTTTAACATGACCATTTTGGTGCCTACAACAACAAGACATTCCCTTGGCAATCCCTACCTCATCAATGGAATAATGTTGCTAATATATGCATTCAAAGATTAAGACTTGTCTTATAAGCTATCCATTATTACCCTTTTGTATATACACATAGAAATTGATGTTTTATGCATGCACACGAGGAAAAGATCATAACCCGTCAACATCACCACTTTACACGTATAAGAAACAGGCAATGAAGTGGGCATCCATCTTATTATGCTCTAAAAAGAAGGGTTTATAAAACCAAAAAACCAAAGAGAAAGTTGAATCAGTACCTATGCACGTAAGTCAGTACGGGGTCGTTAAATATGTTTTGTTTGAAAGAATTTAGCATATGACAAAGCAAAAGGAATTGGAATATATGTTAGAGGGGCAACTTGTGATGTTACTTGTGTTAAATTACTTAGATGATAAAATCCTAAATGCTATATTTTTTTGTATAGAGATGGGGAAAAGGAATGGCACTTTACATAGGGGCCAAATGGCTTGTACAAATATATTCTTGTGTATGTGTGGATAGGATCTCTCTTTCCCCCCTCAAAATTAGGTGAACCATATAATATTATATATATATATATATATATATATATATATATATATAAAATGGGGCATATTCAAGGGAGAACTGAGTTGTTTGTGGTAACTGTGAGAACCAATATTAACCACAAATCAATAGATAAATTAGGAAATTTATAAATTTGGTAATTTTAAATTAAAATCTTAATGCAAGGATATTTTTGGTATTTTAAAACTCTCATCTCTCCTCTCTTCTCTCTCCGGCCACCGTTCTCCGTCCTCCGGCCACCGTCTTCCGGTGATACCACTATGATACCACTGTGATACCTAAAAATATTGACTCTGTTAAACAAAAGATACATTGTGATACCTAATCATATATAAGATGCATAGTGATACCACTGTGTTACATCTTCGATCGACCACACAAACGACATCAATGTGATACCCAAGCACATATATGATGCATTGTGATACCATTGTAGTATCACCGGAGGACGGTGGCCGGCGGACGGTGGCCGGAGAGAGAAGAGAGGAGGGAGGAAAGTTTTAAAATAACAAAAATATCCTTGCATTAATATTTTAATTCAAAATTGCCAAAATTATAAATTTTCTAATTTATCTATTGATTTGTGGTTAATATTGGTTCTCACAGTTACCACAAACTAATTAGTTCTCATTTGATTAGGCCCCTATATATAATATTTTATATATATATATATATATATATATATAATATTATATATATATATAGGGTTCGGTTCACGTGAGACCAAGGGTTTTTCGTGAGATCAAGGGTTTTTCGTAAGACCCGTAAGACCAATTTATGTTCATTGATCAACTTTATAAGGTAATGATCTAATGATCTAAAGTTGCACGGTGGAAAATTTGTTATTATTGAGAAGTCTCGTGACATTTATAAATGTTCAGATTGTCATATTATAGATCTAATCCAAGGGTTGAGAATTGGTCTTACGGGTCTCACGAAAAACCCTTGGTCTCACATGATCCCAAGTCTCTCTCTCTCTCTCTCTATATATATATATATATGTATGTATATGTATAACACTTGTAGAGAAAAAGAAAATAATCAAACGATAACAAGATCAAAATAGAAGAACACAAGATCATGTAATTTTGTACCGAAATCACACGCGATTCGGCCTTGACTTAGGTCGCGACCAAGGTTGTGTGTATGACATGTGATTAATTTTACACGTGAGTTTAATATAAAATTACATGTGATTTAGTATTCTCATGTTATTTTATTTTACTATCATTCTTTATTGAATCCCACTCTCTCCCTCTCTCAATACATATATATATATATATATATATGTGTATGGGTGTAGGTTCAAACGAGAATTTCTCTTTTATTAGAACTCGATAAGACCCTTATTACATGTGATAGTACACGTGAGGGGATCATGTGATGTGCGGACAACGTGTTCTACGACCTAGGCACGCCAAAGGTTGTCTGCATCTATGATTTAGCATCACATGTAATGGTCTTGATAGATTATAGTATTATATCAACAATAACCTTATCACATGTGAAAATACTTGTGAAGGAACTTAGTGGTGTAACGACGACTTGGCGCGCAACCAAGATCGCATCGAAAATCACTCGCATCTTTGATTTAGTATCACATGTGTAACATATGTGATGGAATAATAGTATCACATGTGATTGTTTATAGTAAAAGAGTGTTCTCGCGTTCTCATAAAATGTAGGTGTTCTCGTTTGAACCATTCCCTATATATATGTATAAATAAATAAATAAATAAATAAATATATATATATATATATATATATAAAAGGTGTCTCTATATATTCTTATTCTTCAATCATTTAGGGTTCCTTTTGGACTTCAATTGTGAAAGAAAGAATCTATCTTTACCCTAGATTTGTCATGTGGGATTGTTATCTCAAGATCGGAAAAGCATAGCTTATATTATGAATATTTATATATAAACATATATAGGTTTACATTACTTACCTTCATTCGGTTTGAAGTCGAAACTTTAACTTTACCAAAATACTTTATTTTATCAGGATGCAACTTATGATACTCAAATGGTTAGTTTTATTTGTATAATTTTATGACGTAAGGGCATAAAGTGAGAATAAATAGTGAAAATGACTGTATCTTTATCAAGGTCTCATATCGATTGGAGTTGTCAGGTGCGTTTGTCTCCTTTCAATTCCCATAATTAAAACATACATTTATAAATTTCAACATAACGTCCTCTAATTCTGTTTTTATTTTTTTAACAAATCTTATTCATCCAATATATATATATTTGTTAGATTTGTATGCGATCTAATTGATGATCGATCTGTTTGCAGGTTCATACATAAAATTGGTCCAGTATTTCAGATAAAAGAAATGATTTATAGAGAACTTGCGAGGAATAGACATATTTAGGGGCATAAGTGTGATTGCCACAAACAAAAAGCTTCATACAAGTTTTCCCAACTTTTAAAGATCCCCAAAACACCCCCCTTACTACTACCATCATAGTGAATATATATCCTTAGCTTTTTTGTAAACACACATCGATCAAACCCTAGCGACAGCCTTGCACACCAACGGCTTCTTCATCTCCAACGACATCTTCAAGCACTCAGACATGTCGACCGAACCATTTGCAACCCATTTGAAGTTTTGCAAAAGTTGCGCTAACCAAAGATGAACCGTTTCTAGACCCATTGCCTTGCCAGGGCAAACCCTCCTTCCAGCACCAAACGGGGCCAACCTCAGGTCCGACCCCATTATTGCAACATCCTCGGTCAAAAACCGATCAGGGTTGAACCGTTCGGGCTCAACCCATATGTGTTCATCGTGGGTTATTGCCCACATGTTCACCATTGCAGTGGTTCCAGCCGGAACCAGATGTGAGCCTACTTGAGTGTCGTGGATAGCAAGTCGAGCCCACGACAGGAGAGGCCCCGGTGGGTGCACACGGAGGGTTTCTTTGACGATTGCATGGAGATACGGCAAGTTGGCCATGTCCGAATGAGTTACACGTCGATCACGCCCAACTACGCCTTGGATTTCGGATTGCGCCTTGGCTTGGATGTCCGGGTGTAACACCATTCGTGCAAGAATCCACTCTAACAAGATTGCCACCGTGTCAGTCCCCCTAAAAATCATTTCCTGCAAATAATAAAAGGAGTTGATTAGTTAACTAAACAAATCAACTTAAAACAAACATATGGATATTATTCTTGATTCCCAATGTCTAACAAAAAAAAAAGAGAAATTTATACCCACTAAAATATACATATATATATATATATATTGGTCTTACGGATCTCAGGTGAACCCAATCCTATATATATATATATATATATATCGTTCATCTTCGTTAGTTTTTTTTCTTGAAATTAATGTCATTTTCAAGAGTAAATTTATGGTAATTAATAATAAATAAATTATATATTTTATAAAATGGTCAGGTGAATAGAAGCAATAATTACCCAGAGAACGGCAATCATGTCAGCATCACTGAACTTGTTTTCTGATTCTAAATCAAGCAAAACATCGACGAAATCACCGTCGGAAACTGCCATGGTCGTTCGTTCATTATCGGACCTCGTTTCTCGGTGTTGTTTGATGATTTCTCCGACGAAATCATTCACCTTGGACACCAAATCTCTGCACCTCTTCCTCACTCCTTGGAAATCAAACCAACTTACGATCGGAAAATGATCGCTCCAGTTGAAGATTCCGAGAAGTTGATACCCTTCACTGACAAGCTTCTCGAGCTCATGTCCATCACCACCGCCACCATTTTCACCAAAATCATCATACGACTTTCCAAACACAGACATCATGACATTGTTCAAGGAAGCGAAGTGGAGGATCCTTTTTACCTCCACGACACCATTTTTCTCCATGGATGACATAACTTGATCCACCATCTTCAACCCGATATCTTGCCTGAAAACGCCAAATCCAGCCACCCTCTTGGGGCTAAACAAATGGGTCGACGAGATTCTTCGGAGGTTACGCCAGTAATCACCATATGGAGCGAAACCCATAGCACGGTGAAACAAAAGCTCGTAAGCCGACTCCTTCACCGGCCGGTCCGCAAAAGCAGAGCTGTTGAGGATTTCCTTGGCCGTTTCGGGATGACTCGAGATGACAAACCGTGTCATCCCAACAGAAAACGCCATTAAACGTTTAGCATTAGAAGCAGTAGAGAGCTTCGCCAGGGTTCTATGTGTCAAAGAAGAAGCAAAGGCGAAGACGAGACCTAAAAAGGGGAAACCAGCGGGGCCAGGGATGGCTGTTTTTGGTCGGGGTTTAGAGAGCGCCCATGCGAGGCCGCCGGGAGCGAGGAGAAAAGCAAAGATGGAGACAAAAACGACGATGCAGAGGAAGAGATGTAAGCTAAGGACGGAAGAAGATTCAGGAACAAAAATGGTGGAAGCGGAAGACATGTTTGAAGATGGAGAGATGAGAATGGAGGAAGGCAATGAGTGAGATTAGAGTGTGATGGAAGGCTTAAATAGAGGTTTTGGACGAACATGACGTCAGGCAGCTTTTTTATTTGCTTTTAATTACTCTGCATGTTTTGTACGTAATAATTATTTTTCCAAATTACAAGTTTCTATTTATTTGTTTTTTTAATTCTTTTTATCATGCAAATAAGCATGTATTTCCTCCTTACCACAAGATAAATGTGAGATTTTCAACATAGCCTTCAAAATCTTGGGGCCCAAATTTACATATATTTAGGATTTTTTTATCGACATGTGTAAACTATAGCTGAAATTATTTAGGTTCAAACTATTAATTGTTTAGATTTAGGTTCAAACTATTAATGGTTTAGGTTTAGTTTCAAATTATTAATGGTTCAGGTTTAGTTTCAGATTGTTGATCGTTTTAGGTTTAACTCATCTTTGTTCTTAAAATATATATTATGTTATCTTATTTATGCAACGTACTCAAAAGTTTTGAATATAACAAGATCTCCAAAAAGATTAGATGGTAGTAAAATATTCTAACAAACTATATTGTAGAATTTAATTTTGAAGGAATAATCATAACTGTGTTTGTCATATAAATATCTTATAATAAATTGGAAAACGTGACATAGAAAATCTGTTCAAATCATATTTCTTAAAGAACATTTTATAAAAGGTTAATAAGATCATTTATTCAAAATTGTCTTAATTTTTTTAGAACGTCTAAAAACATAAAAAAAAATTATAAATTATAGAATTTTTTTAGTAACCTGGATATCCAACCCGCTAAATCTCAGGACAACCACCTGCTTTGCAGATAGTCTGAAGTCACCGCATTTGAACATTCGTGGCCAGAAGGGAATTTTTATTCCTCCTTGGATTTGAACCTGATACCTCCCGGTACTTTTGACATTTGAAGTCAATTTCAAACCAATCAGACACTACCGTTATGGTCTATTTTAGTCAAAAAGAGTGTTGTAGATATGTTTTGTTGAGTGAACACCAAATTGATTGTTGCAGCATCACACAGAAGCACGTGGATACAGTATATAAACATAAACACATGGTGTTTAATTTGCCAAAATTTTGTAATATTTGTGCACCTCTCTTGTCGTAATGTCCACATGCTACCCCATACAACACGTACACACCCATTAAATAACCAGATCTTTTTTTTTTTTTTGATATCTACAACAATTATGTTTGTAATTAAGTCACATGTAAAATGGAAAAAAGTTATAAATACATGTACTGGTTGGATCGGTTCATATTCATATAGGGGTGGCAAAAAATGATCCAATCCGAACCCAACTCAGAATTAGCAGGTTGAGTTGAGATTTTCAACTCATTTAAATAAATAGATTAACCTGCTTAACCCATTTAAATAAATGGGTTGGGTTGGGTTGGGTTGGGTTGAATTTTTCAACATGCTTTCAACTTGTTTACAACACGTTTTCAACATGTTTCCAATCTATTTAAAATATTATATAATTTTATTTTATTCTTAATATTATACCTAGTATTCTAATTTTTACTTTTTTTTTATTCTTAATTAAAAATCCTACCGTCATGAGATGAATGTTCAAATTCTAATTATCGCCTCCGTTACTCTTAATCATCATGAAACCCTTAGAAAACTCTTTAGTCCATTACTCCATTAATGCCTCCAAGCTTTGGGATTGGTGAAAGTGGAAGTCGAGTTACTTAGAATTTAAAAATTTCCAATTTATTTTGAACAATATATTTGTTGTGATTGTGTTTTATTCAAAAATAAATAAATAGTCTAGTCTTTTTTTTATTTAACATTTTAAATTTAAATGAGTCAAACCAGGTTCAACCCATTTATTTAACAGGTTGGGTTAAAAAAAATATAAATAGGTCAACCCATTGTCATCCCATTTAGATAACAGGTTGGGTTGGGTTGGGTTGGGTTGGGTTGGGTTGGGTTGAAAAATCTCAACCCATTTAATAGGTTGGGTTGAAAAATCTCAACCCATTTAATTAAATGGGTTGGGTTGGGTTGAGTTGAGATTTTCAACCTGCTTAATAAGTGAGTTGAACTCGAACCCAACCCAACCTGACCTATTGCCACCTCTATATTCATAGGACCCGAGAGGATAGTTATGGGAATTCCTTGTAAGTTTTGCGACAATGCTAGGATATCTCATTTGTCTCTATATATGGTTTAATTACAACGATAACAAAGGGAATGCCATTTTAGCAACATGGTTATAGTTTTCCGACAATAAATTGGATACATAAGCAAGACTTCAATTCATAAGTTTATATAGACTTGAGAACCGAACAAATAACAGAGAGAATTAACCATCGTTCGATATCTATATATAAAACATACTGACTAACGTTATCATGCAATGCAGTAAACTACAGACTCTACGGCATCCATAGAGTAATAAGTTGTTTTTCTAAAAGATAAATTGTTCAAGTGTTTTAATAGAATGTGTAGTATGGCTTAAGTTTATAGGACCAAAAAATAAATTACGTTTGACAAAGTGTTACAATAACTTTATATGACATCTTTAGGTGTCGCAACAAGCTTTTTAGAATATTTTTAAAATAAAATGCCGTGTTAACTATTTTATAAGACATTATTTAAAAAAAAGGTCGTATAAATGTAAGGGTCTTATAAAAGGATGAATATATATATATATATATATGGCACTTCTCAAAAGTGTCATATAAAATAGCTAATATGACATTTTTTGAAAAGGTCCTAAGAAATATGACATTTTTTGGTTAGTAAAGGAAACCAGAGAGAAATCAGGAAGAAGCACAAGTTGAGAAGTCGTAGTGTCGTATGAGAAGAATTCAGGGTAATAATTTGTCCCAATCTCTTGATTTAGTATATGATTAGTATCTTAGCATGTTTTGGAAGTGATGAGTATGAAAATGGCATGGAATCAGAAGTCCTTAAGACCATCCATTTGATGAAGTGATAATTTCAATGTTTTCAATGAAATTGGCAAGTCTTAATCCAAATTATGCATGATAATTAAGTTAACTGATGTTTTAGTATGCCATTATATATAGTACAGGTTTATAGGTCTTTTTATGTAAAGATAACCCTTGAAACATTTTAGAAATGAAGATTTTTGTGCCAAACAACAATGAAAAGTTCGAACCAAAATCAAGAATCAGGATATGTATTATGTGTTGCATTTGGCATGCATTGCCTAGGTATGTTGCACCCTTGTGTGAGTCTATTGAAGGATTTAGAACTACTATGTGATCAACTTTGTGACTGTTTTGATACAACCACATACGTCCGGCTAGGCCAGCCCATATGAGTTTTAACCTTTTTTGGCATGCCCATGTCATGTACAAGAAGCACATGTGTTCTAGAGCACTACATGATGTCTAGTAAACCAATTTAAGTGATTTGATGCATGTATGGCTTATGCACATAATCTTAGCTAGATCTACATGGACTATACTTGAGTTTCATGTTATTTGAAATGGGAATACATGCCACACGTATGTTTCAATATTTTAAGCCATGGTTTAGTATTTTCAGTTATGACTCAGTATTCTCATAAATACTCGGTATTTTCAACCATGGTTGATATTTTCAGAAACACCCACTATTTTAATATGCATTCCATGCATGTGAGATGTTGTACATTTTAGAATAAGTTATGTATGATAAATGTTTTGGCATGTCTGAGGGGTCATGTGTAACACTTAAAAATCTGTAAAGACCGAAAAATTGAGATTTTCGATAAAACATTAAATTCAATACAAATTATCCCTAAACTTCTTTATACTTACATACAATGATACAACAACGTCAAAGTCAACAACATAGAATTTATATCCACATGAAACTAGGTTAAGACCAGTGTTACTATAACTCTCATCGCTATCTCCAACATTACAAAACATCCTAAACATTTAAGTCTTTTATGAATCTCAACTAGTACTAAACTTTGCTCAAGTATCCTAATACTGCCCCCACGAGGACCTGATGTATATGTCGATAAGAAAAGGTATTAGGCTTAATTGTAACACCCTCAAATCTGGAAAGAGCGACTAATTTAAAATTTTCGATAAAACATCAAATAAGGATTAAATTCCTTTCTAAATGTAAACACTTGATAACCTATAATGACAATCTAGAATTTCGCATCAACAAATAATAATTCAAACCTTACACAAACTATATTAGGGATGAGTATTACTAAAACACATTAATTGTCGCTATCTCCAAGGTACAAATATGTCTTTAAATAGCTAATTCCTTTTCGTGCCTCTAACTAGCACTCAACTCTTCATAGTATCGCTAGTACAATTCCCCAACAAGAACCTGATGCACATGCTGATACACATGTTGATACACACTATTTATTTAGTGCTTAAACATTCATTTCTTTTTACTTATAGCTAGGTTATTTACCCTTTTATAGCCCAATCCTGAGTCTTTTATTATCTTATTTTTCGTTTATTTACTTTATGGAGCTAAAGTGGTGATTAATCTGAAATAAGGCTATGGAGTGAAAATTTCACCTTATGGACAGGCTGTTTGTGTTGCCAACATACCACAACATTGGATCTGCTAGTTTATATGGCTTTTTTTAGGCCTTATTGCATTCAGCCACATGTCTGCTTTGGAATCAGACTTTTTGTAACTAGGAGATCAAGTTCTAATGACTTTTTAAAGGCAAAATAGATGTTGTAACTTAGCTAATTTATGTACTTTTTGTTGACTTTTGGTAAACTTTGGCCCCAAGTTTCTTTATTTTACATTTTCCCTCTCTAATCTTAGTATAAATAGAAGTGTTGGGGTTTAGGTTTTTGGTGTCCAATCAGATCTAATATGATTGTGATTTACATTTTGAAGTAATTTAAATTTATACTCTCACGTTTTAATTTATAAAATCTCGTATTTTCTTGAATCTTGTTCTTCATTCTTCATCACATAGTAATTTTATGTTATTCACTTTCTTACGTTTACC